AAAAAAATAAAAGCTGACTTGTAGGGGGGAGGGGGGGGGGGGGGGGGAAGAAACCATAAAATGTATAAAAGGTCAGCTTGAACTTTTTTTTTGTAATATTTTTTTTTCTTTCATGGTGCATATACTCGGTTGGTCACTTGTGTATTGTGTACAGTATTATGTTGTTTGCTATGCTTTCCTTCAGGCCCAGGTAACCTCGGCACTCCGGCTGTTGTGGAACTACAAGTCCCATGAAGCATTGCAAGACCCTGACAGCCACAAGCATGAATCCCAGAGGCACGATGGGATTTGTACTTTCACCACAGCTGGAGTGCTGAGGTTGCCTACCCCTGCTTTATTGTGTGCATTTTACCTGGTGGAGATCGAACCGGTCTTTGCACATTTCATACACATATTCATAGTTCTATTTTGTGTTAAGTCGGGTATACACGTGTACAGATTCCAGATTCCTTCACCGACACTTACAAGCATTGAGGGACGAATCCCCTGCTGTTTGTGCTGTATTCTGACAGCGGCCGGCAGCCGCTGTCAGAATACTGAAAGGAGCTAGCAGTGGACTGGCTGCCAGCTCCATTCAGCCAAGCATTTTCCAACCTGCTCCTTCAACCAGCTGATCAAGGGATTCCAGTGTAGGAATGTGCTGACAGCGGCACCCACTGTGCGAATTTCAGCCAGTTCCTGATGAATTCATGGCGTGTGTGCCTGCCTTTAGCTGTTTCATTTCTTATTCATAACATAGTACAGGTACATTTTAGTTATCCACTTTGGGTTATTTGACTTTTTCACTTCATTTTTGATATTGTATGACAACAGGGATATTTCCTGTCCTTACTGCTGTTTCTATGCACGTAGTTTTAATATGGACAATTTAATTTATTTGCCGGCTTTGTACCTCCAAAAACAAGCCGATTCTGGCAACAAACTTGCCAAATCTCCTGATGCATTTGTTTTTCTTTTACATTGAGGGATTGTTCACACCGAATGCGGTGCATTCCAGAGTGGTAGCCGCTGGAACACACCGCAATCGCTCACAAAACTTCCCCCTGCGTTCTGGGGGGGCGTGGTGGCGCATTGAATTCAATGGCACCACTTCCACGCCCAACCCCTCGGAGTGCGATCGGACGCTTGGCAAAACTTTGCCTGCATTCCGTTCCACTGCAAACGCAAAAAATAGAGCAAGCCGCATTCCACGCAATCGTGGAAGCAGTGCCATTGAATTAAATGCACCACCACGCCCCTTCCCACCCCAGAACGCAGGGGGAAGTTTTGTGAGGGATTGCGGTGCGTTCCAGCAGCTACCGCTCTGGAACGCACCGCCTTCTGTGTGAACAAGCCCTGAACAAAAGCTGGCCATACACTGCTTAGATTTTCGAAATAACTTTTGCACAAAAGAATGCTTGTTCAACTTTCTATTAGTCGATGGGGTCAAATCAACGATCGTTTTCAGCCATAGTGATGAAAAAAAGGAGCAGGGTGGAAAATGTTTCTTAAACTAACGAAATTCTAACTGTGAATGTGGTTTTCATTCGGGAAACTCCATTCCAAAATCCAATGTTCGAATCAAACAACATTTCCATTGACATTCGTCAAGTGTCTGACGGAATTATCGGGTGGTAAAGAAAGATCTTTATGATCGTATAAATGTTTGGAAATCTACTAGTGAATGGCCGACTTAAACATGAATTGTTCTCTCATTATCCATGAGCAGATTGTCTGCACTGTGGTCTTATTCCTTCATCTGCTGTCCTTATGTAGAAGACCCTTTGAATGACTTCTTCATGTAAGCAGCGAGCAGGCTGGCTATATGAAGAAGCTGCACATGTTCAGTTGTTCCGCTCTTTTCTGTCTTCTTGTAGTGCATGTAAACCCTACCAATAATATTCTCTTATTTGCTCACTTTAAATATTTCATCAAAAGTGGTTTGTTAGCATTTCAATATTTGAAAAAATATACCTGTTTATCTTGTCAGAAATTTAGAGCCGTCCTGTGTTATCTGAAGAAGCCAGGTTAGTCAGCCAGTTCTTATCTTGGGACTACAGATCAATTAGCCTTCATGCTGTCTTTGAATAGTCCAGGGGGTGGGTCTAAGTAGGTGAGCCAAAGACAACTGGTAGGACTGACAACACTCAGTCCACCAAAATGCTGTGCGCTGTCAGCCGACAACAAGACTTGAGAGCGAAGTGCATTTCTGGCAGGTCAACAGGTATTTTTCTGTACTTGCAGAGTCTTTGAAGGGATACAACTTGGGTAAATGTGTAGGGATTGCAGAGATGTATTGCATGGATTTTTTTTTTTTTTTCCCTCTTATTCTCTGACAACCACTTTTGCGGGAGGACATAAGTCTGGCTGGATCAGGCAAAAATCTCACGCATGGGAACTTAAAGTATCTTTCCAAACAGGGGTAACATCTATTTTATGTTTGTTACATGTTTCTCATTCACATAGCATAACATGCACAACACATGCTCTATTCTGGAACAAACGTTCTCTGTACTGAGTTTTGCTCTGGATCATGGTAAGTAGCGGTTTACACTTACCCATTTTTCGCTGCGCGCTCCCGTCCGAGAAAACTAAACCGCTCCGGCGGCCGCAAGGCATCTTGGGGCGGGTGCATGCGCAGTTCGGATTCTCGGCCGGGAAACGAGCAGAGACGCAAGGTAAGTATACGGACGCATGCAGACACCGCTGGATCGGAAGTGCCTGCAAGCAGAGAGGAGTCAGCGCTGGATCGGAGAGCCGCAGCACCGCTGGAGGGACAGATGAAAACCTCAGGAAAGAAGAGGAAGATCGGATTAAGAAACCTCATTTAAGGTAGGTGCTGACATTAACATGGGGGGAGGGGAAAAAAAAATATCCTTTAATGTCACTTTAAAGGGTTATTAAACCCTCATTGGTTTTTGCATATATCTACTGCTAGCAAACAGTAGATATATGCACAACGATAAAATAAAATAAAAACTTTTTCAAAGGGTTAATACTTACCTGTGTCTCCGCCGCGCGCTCCCGTCCGAACATCTGAAAATTTCTCGGGCGGGCGCATGTGCAGTTCAGATGTTCAGCCAGGAGATGAGGAGAGACACAAGGTAAGTATGTGGAGCAGCGTGAACCCGCACAGACTTCGTGGGACGTCAGAGGAGAGGAGGACACAGGAGTTGGCGCTGGATGGGAGACCCGCACCAGCGCTGGAGGGACAGCTAAAAACTACCTGAGAGAAGATGATCGGATTAAGAGGCATGATTTAAGGTAAGTCCTTACCTTAGCTGGGGGGGGGGGCTTTTGCCCTAATGTCACTTTAACCCTGTCTGTACTGTGCTGGCAGATCTCTATCATTTGTAAATGAGATTGGAACACATTCTCTCCTAACTGAGAGTTAAAGATTTAGAAGCATTGTATGATAATGAGGAGAAGCTCAGTCCGTCCCTAGTCTTTTATGGGGACAGCCAGAGATACCTGTCACTTGGAAATAGAGAGAAAAGCTTGGAAAGGCCTGCTGCACAGTGTGTTGGGAGAATATCATTATTTTTACATGGGATAACAGCAATGTGTACATTAAGCTTTGTTTACCACATGTCTCTGTTTACATGTTTATATTTGTGGGCAGAATATCAATGCTTTTCTAACACATTTTGTTTATTTCTGTAGGAAAGACACAAGGAAGCCAACATGTAAGTCCTGTGTAGATAAATGCAATGTTAAACTGAACTCCAGGCAAACCAGTAATGAAATCAATAGCAATTAACTGTTTTACCAGCCACAGTATTTGTATTTCTATCCAAGCAGTCCTGATTTTACACAGCCCTGCCATGCAGCACAGCCAGGCACATTCATCCACTTTCTCTGTTAGTTACAACTGTGGGTGTATTGTCAGGATACCCAAATATAGCTTGCAGCTGATTGGTTGCAAGCTCCATTCGGCCAAGAATTTTCCAACTTGCTCCTTCTATCCGCTGATTGAATTATGCTAACAGGGTCACCCACTCGGATCACCGAAATTGGCACTGTGTATAGCCTACTTTATACTGTAAACTGCAAGGCACATTTACTGTGAAAGGTTTCACCTTACTCTGGCCTTCGTTGAACAGCCCCTCTCCTAAAATGCTGGCTGCAATGTGGAGCCTCTGGTATCCCGCCGAGCTCTGCCTGCTTATCACTGCATAGAGGACTCCCTGATTGGAGAAGAGGCCGGTCACATGGCTTTTACAGGTTACATGACTGGGCTTTCCTCCCTTGATTTTAATTGCTGTGGAACATTTATAAAACACATAACTTTTAGATTGTAAGCCCTCAGGGGCAGGGCCCTCCTTACCATCTTCTCTTGATTTGTATTGTGATTGTAATGTCTTCCTTATATTGTAAAGCGCTGCGCAAATTGTTGGCGCTATATAAATACTATGTAGTAATAATAATAACTAAGGCCATACTTGTGCTTTATCAATGCATCCCATAGTTTTTGATCCTGCCAGTAGATGTTTTTTCCAACTTCCATTAGCAGGCTGACAACGCTACTGTGCCCTGTCACTGTATAATGAACATTGTGGAATGGGAAGTCTTAGATGGACTTTAAGTAAGCAACAAACATATTAAAATATAACCTCAGGTAACACATTTTAAGCACTTACAGCAACATGTAATTTTTTTTTTTCCTTTTTAAAAAGGGTACAAACCATATGAATAAAAACTGACCATTGCGCCATTGTTACATGATTTGTTACAAACTCTGTAACTGCTATTTTGCTGGACAGCTTGGTAAAGGAGGTTAGAAATGAATGGATTTTATGGCAGGTTTAACAGTTAACAAAACTGTCATGTGGACTGGGGAATAAAAACCTGTTATCTCTAGGGACAGACTGCTTCATATTTGTCATTTTTGATTTTGCCTATAGTTCTATTTTAACACGCAGTGCTTCTTTTGCAGGGCTGACTACTGGAAATCTCAGCCTAAGAAATTTTGCACATATTGCAAGTGTTGGATTGCTGACAATAAGCCGGTATGTGTTGTTTATAAATTATTAATAATAATAATATTTATATTTTAAAGCAAATATAAATTTGACAGCTGTGGCAAGTTACTTGTAATTTATAAATGTCTGTATATTAATGTGTTTTCTTCTGAGATAATAGGTCTCATTTTATAAAAATTTCTGAAGGGAGAAATTACTGTATTGCCCTTGGAAACCAGTCACATTCTTCTTTTAAACCTTCCCTATAAAATGACCTGTGAAAGGGCAGCCAGAACCTAGTACCTACACCTCATTACAGGCAGTTCTGGTTTTAAGGTGCCCATACACTGCACGATTCTCGTACAAGAATCCCGGGAAATCCCGCGATCGTACGAGAATCGTGCAGAGTATGGAAGGCGTGCAACCGTTTCTAATGTACGGTCGCACGACTTTTGTATATCGAGCATGTTGATAAACCAGCCGAGAATTGTACGATTTTCGGCTGGTTTTTAACAGGATCGAGAGATAACAGCCGAACGGGCCGGTGTGCGCACACTGCCCATTCAGCATTGCAGTCATCGGGCTTGCGATGATCGCAGGTAAGATCTGCCTGTCCATCTTGGACAGGCAGATCGTACGCTTTTTTTATTACTTTACAACCCTCGCAAGACAGAAGTCTTGCGAGGGTTGTAAAGTGTATGGGCACCTTTTAGGATCCTGGGTTTTTTTGTTAGAGAAACATAGAAGTCATTCGTTTTTTTAAATTAATGTTATATCTTTTCTTTTTTTTTTTTAGAGTGTTGAGTTCCACGAGCGGGGCAAAAACCACAAAGAAAATGTCATCAAGAAAATCAGTGAGGTAAAGTACTTGATCCCAACGTAATGTATTCCCTCCTAACAGAAGGACATAAAACATCTGCTACATTTATATATTGTCAACAAGATTATTAATTGTAATTTCTGGGGGTGTGATTGCTGTTTTTTAACTGTGTAGGATTGCCAACTATGTGCAAGTGTGGCCATACAAATCAGAAAACCTCACCATAGCTTCCGCCCTAGGCAGGGTTGCGCAGGTTGCAGTTCTAAATGGTATTGCTGTACATAGAAGGCATTCTGAGAACACTTGTGTAGCTCAGCTGTTTTCTCTTTCAGATCAAACAGAAAAGTATGGCCAAAGCCAAGGCAGATGAAAAGATGTCAAAGGAATTTGCTGCAATGGAGGAAGCTGCATTGAAGGCATATGAAGAAGATCTGAAGAGGCTCGAGGGCACAAAACCAGGTACCTGTTGATGTAATGATTTTTAAGGATATACCAAAAATAATCAGCACAGGTATTTAACTTAAACTAGCTTTATAGTGACAGGATTTATTGCCACCACAGTGACACCTGTTCACACAAGGTCAGCTAAGCCCAATTGAACTATCTTAATGTATTATTTTAACGCAGTCTGATTGCTTGTGTGATAATAAATATGCCTCTGTTTTCCTTTTAATCAGATAAGTCCTGCAGAATGGGTTAAAAAAGCCCTTTGCTGGCAGCACTAGGAAAGTCAGATGCTTCTCTTACACACAAGCAGCAGCCAGGGTCTGACGTTCACCACTGGACACTGCTCGGCTCTCCTGCAGCCTGACACAGCCACTGAATACTGTTTGGCTCTCCTGCAGCCTGACACAGCCACTGAATACTGCTTGGCTCTCCTGCAGTCTGACACGGCCACTGAATACTGCTTGGCTCTCCTGCAGCCTGACACAGCCACTGAATACTGCTTGGCTCTCCTGCAGTCTGACACAGCCACTGAATACTGCTTGGCTCTCCTGCAGTCTGACACGGCCACTGAATACTGCTTGGCTCTCCTGCAATCTGATGCGGCCCACTGAACACTGCTGTAATCCTGATTGAGTTTTCAGTTTCCTGAATGAAACTACAAGCAGCTGTGCTGACACATTTTGCCGGCATGGTCCACCATTCCTAAGCAAATAAGCACAGAAAGTGGCTGAAAGAGGCTTCAGGAGATCAGCAGCTCTGAGATACAAAAAAAAAAAAATGTTTGACACATAGTAATTTAACACACTAAATGTCGTCCAGTTAGTTAGTGTTTATTTAGATGAATTTTAACTGGAAAAACATGTACGCAATGTTTGAGTGCTTTTTACATTATTAGTATTATTATGCAGGATTTATATAGCATTATGTTATATCCATTGAGGATTTTTTTTCCCCCTGTTTGTGGTCATTCGTGTTTAGTTTTAATTGGTTTACAGTACACTGACTATTTCATAGTTTTCATTATGTGTGCAATATAAAGGTAATAAACAACTGACATTTTTCTCTAGCTCCTATAGCTCCTGTAGGTCCAACAATTGAGGAGAGAAGAGCGCGTGATGAGCAAAAAAGGAAAGAGATAGAAGCTCTAGAAAAACATCATGCTAGAAAACGGTGGACAAAGGCATTTTCTCCAGAAGGATTCACATATTACTACAATGAATTGACTGGAGGTACTGTAAGTTTTACTATATGGATATAGCAGGGTGAAATTTAAGGTGCTTTTCTCTTAATCCTTTTTTTCTTTGCATGCTAGAGACTCAGTGGGAAGAGCCAGATGGATTCCAGGAGAACAAGAACAAGTCTGAAGAGGTGAGAGGTGGCACAGTTATTTTCATTAACAATAGATGGAGAATGTGATTTAAAAGTTACTTATGTTAAGTGCCACCAGCATGTTAATATGGGCAAATAGTTACCTTTTCTATTTGGTAAGCTTCCCGAGCATTCAAGGGACCCCAAAAAGCATGGCAGTCTAATAATGAAGGCACAATTGGTTGGTTAAGCTGACAGCCAACAATGTGGCATTGGCGGTAAGAGGTGGCTGGGCCAAGCACCGACTTTGTAGTAGGAAGTTTAATATTGACATTCTGGTAGCACTTTACAAACCATAAGATCATTATGGAGTCACTTGAAAGCACCAACATTAAAGATATCTTTGGAAAACAAATGCAGCTTGCCTTTATAACAAAATGTGATGAGCAGAACAAGAGTAATATGTCTAAATTCTAAAGTTGACTTTGCTTCTTTTAAGGTTCTAATTGTTCAAAAACCAGATACATCTTTGTATTGCCAACTGTAGACTTATACTGTCAGTAACTACACTCCATATGGCAATATTTACCCATGAGGCCAACAGTCATGGTCCTGTGATGGTCTGTTTTGCTTGAGGCCTAACATTTGGTTTTGACAAATTTGACTATACTCGCGTATGGAAAAATTAGTGAAAGCTCATTATGTATGTGTATGAGCTTTTCTGGTGTGTGTGTGTGTGTGTGTGTGTGTGTGTGTGTGTGTGTGTGTGTGTGGTTTGTTGTGTTTTTTGTTTTGTTTGTTTTTCTTTAAACATGGAGCCAAACCTGTTTGGGAAGAAGGTGTACTACAATAATGAGACAGGAAATGGTTTAAAGCTCATTATATGTACGTGTATGGGCTTTTCTCATGGTTTTTTTAATAGCAAGGAGCCAAACCTGTTTGGGTAGAAGGTGTATCTGAAGAGGGTTATACGTACTACTACAATAATGAAACAGGAGGTATGTGCTTTTACTTAATATTATAGCCTATCCATTACTGTAACTGAAGTAATTAACAGAGTTTTTTGTTTTTTTGCAGAATCCAAATGGGAGAATCCAGAAGGTTTTGATGCTTTGCCACCTACAGAAGACCAGGAACGCACCCCGGACAAGCAAGACACAACTGTAGAGGAGGAGGCTGGCAGTGTGGAGCAAAAATCTGAGGCAACATCTGATGAGTCCAACCCATCAGAGGAAGCAACACCAGCACCTTCAGTATCAAAAACTAAAATCAATTTCCGGGTAAGACCACTGTTTACCATGTTTGTTTAATGGGAAAATGTTCCTCATTCCATTCTAAAATGTATGTGATGACGATGGATTGAGACGGAATTTAATGAGCTGTCCCAAACTGAACCTAAATTTCAGTGTGAGGTTTTTTTTTGGTGGTTCAGTTTCCAGAAAGGATTCCGAGGGCCATGGAACATCCAAAGGACCAGTCAGATCATCTGCCTTTTATATATGCTTCTATTGTTGCCCAAGCCCCTTCTACTTGAATGCCACCAGGCCCACCCTTCTGACAAAGTTTATCTGCTTCTGCTGTTGCGTGAGCACCCAGCATGACTACCAGTGTCACAAGGTCCAACACTTCTTGGTATCCCCAGTATAATTTTTGGAATGAGTGACCTAATGTTCCTTTGCCACTCCAAGACTCCTGACACCTGCCTGGCCCACAAGTAACATTTATTGTATCCCTTGGGCAATTTTTGGATTAAGCGTCTTGCCCTACTTACGCTTGCACTGCTTTTGACCACATTCCTACTTCTGCTGTCTAACCACACCAGAGCTGGCACCCCCCAAAAAAACCCTATGGGAATGCTTTTTTTCACATAAGCATGTCCAGGTCTGCTAGGAGCTGCTGCTGTTTTTTTCTGATTTCCACGGATGGCATCCCTAGGTTCAGTGGCGTAACAATTGCCATAGCGACCCAGGCGGCCACTATGGGGCACAGGGGGGCCCGGCCAAGACATCCCCCTGATGCCGTGCGGGCTGCCTGGGTCGCGGTATGGCATCTCGGGCTGCTGGCTGTCACTGGTGGGTGTGAGGAGGAACGTGTTGCTGTTAGATCACTGACACTGTGTCAGTGACAGCCAGCAGCTGCGGAGGAGGAGGCGGGGCTGGTGACTGAGGAGGAGGGGCCTGGCGATGGAAGAGGAGGCGGGGCCCTGTGCAGGAGGAGGCGGACAGCAGATCGGGGCTGACGGGAAACCGGTGTGCAGAGGTGTGACCAGCTCACCTGAGACCCTGCAGGGTCACTCTCAGGTGAGCTGTTTGGGATCTCAGGTGGGCTCTGCAAAGGACATACATTTTGCTATGGGGCCCTGTGATTTCTAGTTATGCCCCTGCCTAGGTTTTTATTTTTTGGCCCCATCATCTCATGAGGCAGAGCTGTGGGAGTTTCACAAACCATTCTACACAACTTTGTATAATTTGCAGCTTTGTAATACACACTTTTTTTGAGCCCCGTTGACTTTATTGAGACCCTTCCTCCTGTATTGAAATGTGACAAATTGTGGAGTTTTGCAGAGGCTTAAAATATTGTCTGAACCACAAAGTGATCTGACTTTTTTGTAGTTTGCTCATCTCTACTCAGCAATAAGTAAAAGCACTGTAAACATGTCATATTTATTAAATGAGGTCACCCCGAGCTAAATCATCTACATTACAGGATTTGCATGCAGCCTCAATGTGCCAGAAGGCATGTTTTCAGTCTGCGCAGAATTTATTAAAACAAATATAAGTTCTGTTGTAAATTACAGTTACACATTAAAGGAGAACTATGAGGTGAGTGATTTACACTCATCCTGATAGTTAGAGCCGACGTGTGACATTGGAACTGTCGCACATCGGCTCTATTAAACGGGAAGTGAGTGAGCACATACCGTCACTTCCTGATTATATCCCTGCAGAGAGCAGTGACTGTCAGTTCCCGCACTCCCCGCAGTGATTTCCCCCCTCTCCGGTCCTCCAGCGCAGAGTGCTGAAACGGACGGGGAGGGGGCGGGCACAGCTGGCTCTGCCTCTAGATAGGCAGAGCCTGCTGTCAATCAACCAGCTGGGTGGATCTCAACAGTATTGTCGGGATACGTACCTTCTGCAGCGCTCTCGGTTTATAGCTTGCTGTATACTGAGCCTTGAGAGAACTATGGGATACAAAGGTTTACCCCATAGTTCTCTTTTAGGTAATCCTATGCGATTACAAAACACAGAAATACAAATTTATTTGGACTTTTTGTAATTCAAAAGAGAGATACCTAAACATACCCATTGTGGGCTCCTTGCTATGTGCAAAAAATATAATCTTGTGGCTTATGCAATTTTTGTTTAATCAATAAAATGTGTTCTTTAGAGTAAAAAGGAAGAGAAAAAAGAAGACACACTTGAATCTGATATTAAAGAAGAAGACACTGAAGTCAAGCAGGAGACGGAAGAGAAGGGTTCCTCCCTGCAGCTTCCCAAGCAAAGGCCAAAAAAGGCGAATCCATATGGGGCATGGGAGCAAGTTAAAGAGGAGGAAGATCCATAGTAAGTAACGAAGAACCAATGTTCCTCTGCAGTGTTCTGTACATTCACTATAGTGCCAACAAGAGTTCAATAGGTGCCAAATTTTCCAGTGGTTGTGAAAAAAAACTGTCCTCTTTCTAAAGCAGAAACTGGCACTTCTTTGTTTTATACAGTATTTACACAGCTCTGGTCTGGGTTGATATCAGACAAGTGACAGCTGTGCTCTTTTTACTGTAACTTAACTAAGGATGGTAGTGATTACTACACTTTCATACACTTAACTTATTTTTCACGCAGTGAGAATGTGGATTTAGAGCTTCCAAATTTTGATTATGATGATGATCTACAAGTCTCAGTACCTGATCTCCCAGAAGAGCCAAAAGTGAAGTTCAAGGAAAAGACCATCACCACCCTTGGGGACACAGCAGCTGGAGTTTCTGTTTTCAAGAAAAGGAAGCTGGAAAATGTAAAACCCCGTAACATACGCCAGAGACTGAATGATCAGTAAAGGACTTTAATTTGGAAAATTCTGTTTTTAAACTGTGTGTTTCTAAGCATAGCAATATTATTTCTGTGTGCGCTTGGTGTGATTAAATGCTTTTCTATTTTTCTTTTATCATATGAGCTTTTTGCCTTCAAAACAAAATTGGTCATATCCCATAGTTCTGTCTAAGGGCCATCTGTAATGCTCTAATGTAGTCACAATTGTATTTTCCACTGCAGGTTTGAATCTGAATGAATGCTGGATGATTTAGTTTGTCCTATAGCAGGATTAAAAGCAACCTGTCATTAGAGAAATGTGTAGGCTGACATTGCTGATCTCTCCTTGTGAAAATGCTAGTTGGCTAGCTACCATGCAGATGCTTTGGCTTTAATACTTTGTCAGAGGCTCATGGCAAGTATGGAGAAAGGGAATTAAGGCTTTTCCCTGCCTTACATTTTCTATGTGCTTATCCAGATCTGTGACTCAAAAACATTGAAGCCAAACATTGCCAGGCAGCTAGAATTTTCTGAAGGAGGTAAGCAATGGTAGTCATTATTTTTTCTCATAACAGCTGTCTGAGGGCACTAGTGGGGGTACTGCAATGGGCTGGATTTGTGTTCAGGCAGATGTCACTGGCTGGCTCAGCCAAGCATCATATTTGAACCCCCTGTCTGCAGCTCTGTTATGGGATGGGGAGCCAGAAAACTGTCCACTGGTAAATATGTTAAAGGTCCTTTTATGTTTTCAGAGAGCAAAGGTTGGAGGTTAGGTTTCCACTGGACTTTCAGTCCACTTTACTTAAAGGAGAACTATGAGGCGAGTGCTTTTCACTCACCTCATAGTTCTAGCCGACCTGTGACAATGAGACTGTCACAGGTCGGCTCAGTAGATCGGGAGGTGAGCGAACATATACCGGCGTTTGTTCACCTCTCGATCCTGTTACAGCTCTCTGCCGTGACAGGGGAGGGGCTGGATTCCCCCCTCCCTGCTCCGATCTGCCAGCGCTGACTGGCGGAATGGACGGGGGAGGGGGCGGGTACAGCTGGCTCTGCCTCTAGATAGGCAGAGCCAGCTGTCACTCACGCAGCTGGGCGGATCTCGACATTGATGTCAGGATCCGCTGCGGCGTCTCAGTATAGCTGTAGCTCGCGGTATACTGAGCTTAGGGTAACGGGAGGACGCTAGTTTGTGTCCTCCCGTTACCCTAAGGAGAACAATGGGGAAAAGCCCTGACCCCATAGTTCTCCTTTTTAAGTTGCATGAGTCCCACAAAAATGTTTGTCCATCAAGCTAGTAGTAGTCATATTTAAATGGACTTGTTTTGTTCCATCTACGTGGCATCCTTTTCTCAGGGGTGCGCTCTACTTCTCTCGCCCACACTCTCTCTCTCTCTCTCTCCACCCCTCTCTTTCTCCTTAAACATCCAGTCATGTGCAGGAGGTAAAAATGACAGCCTTATGTGATTGAATTCTTGAAGTGAACAAAGGTCTCTCCCTTTTACTTTAGTTTATTTCACCTCAGTTTAATAAATCTCGCCTTTACTGAGCGACGGCAAAGGAATATGTATATAAAACATACTGATCTTCACTTGCAATAATAATATACTCTTTTAGCGCGTGTGAATGTATTTCTACAGACCAATTGACTTCAAGTTTGAGCCATAATATTTGTCTGCAAAAAAACAATGGTACACTGTATGGAGTAAGAACTAAAAAGGATGCCCCCCCCCCTTAGCCATCCAGCAGAGTACAGACCATCCATAGGAATTAATGGGACCACTGTGCACTCAGAGCACCTGGGCAGGATATTCTGGGTTCAACTGCCATGCAGCATTAGGCAAGGCTGTGCAGTGGGAAACTTGGGAGTTGGGATAAAGGTAAGTATCTAACTAAACTGGCTACACTGGGGGAGGTTTATTTAAAGGCCAACTTCACTTTAACAAATGAATGACTTTTTTGCCACCAATGTCTTGCTGCAATATTACACTGCTTATCAGATACTTCCACATTATTTTTACAGAGAAAGAGATGATAAAACCTCTATTACATCACTTTAGAATGTGTAGTTTGTAAACCGCATTCCCTAATAAAGTCACTGCGATATGACCTGCGATATGACCATGTATTTGGCTGCTAGGGTCTTCTACTACAATTTTTAGATATAAAACAGAATATACTGTATATACAAACTAATTTACTGACTGTCATCTGTAATGTTGCACTTGGTCCACGGCAACCAATTATTATACAGATTCAGTGAAAAATATAATCTTGCCCCTATACAAAGCATGAGTAAGACTTTATCTTGAATATGCAGTTCATTTTTGGCCACCAGTTCACAGAAAGGATATTGTAGAACTGGAAAGAGTACAGGTAAAGGCAACTACATTAATAAGTAATTATTACTACAACACAATCTCACCCTGGTCTCTCCTAACTCGACCACTTTTATCTACAACAGTTCTCTCATCCTCCCATGACTCACTTGATCCCCTCACTACACCCAGATGGGCCTCAACTGCTATAACCCTGGCAAACAGATGACAGCAGATGTCTCAGAAGACATAGTCATGCTCTTGAGTAAGTGTGGTGTAAAAGTAAATCCCTGGCAGACTTCGCCCTGTATAAATCTCCCCTCCTATATTATAATTCCTCCCTCAGTTCTGACAAATAGACCGATTTTTTTTTTTTATCACTCTCATTTAGTCCTTGCTAACTCTTTTCTACCTTTTAACTCTTTACTTCATCCACCAATGCAGCGCCCAGGACATTGCCAATCATTTTTAAAACGAGATGGATGCAATTTGTAATGAAATCACCATCCAGAGATCTCCCTACTTAACATCCTTCTCAACTGCCATCTTCCTCTCCCCTCTAAAACATGTACTGGTCATCATCCCCTATACATGAAAAAGCCTTCGCTGGACCCCACCAGTCTGAGCAACGTAAAATCTATCTCCTTGCTCTGTTTACCTCCAAACAGAATGCCTAATCTACAACCCTTGTACCTGCTACCTCACTCATAACCTTCTTGACCCCTTCCAGTCTGGCTCTTGTCTGCAACACTCCACAGAAACGGTCTTATTGAAAATCTAACAAGTTACTAACTGCTAAAACCAATGGCCAACAATTGACTTCATCTGGAGCCCCAGATGAAGTCAATTGTGACGTAGGGCGGAGTCTAGCAGACGTGGATTGGAGATTGCATGGTCGGCAGCACAGCTCCTGTTTGATCTGTCTTTGCACCCAGAGAACACGGTGACACGGAGAGAGAGTTGTCGAGCATACATTTTATTTGAAGTTTTATGTCTACTTTCCTCATGTGAGTAGTTTTTTAAATAAAGGAGGTTTTTTTTTTTTTTGCGGTTTTATGCTATGGGCTGTTTTTATATTTTATTGGATATGGTCGTGATGACACGCTGACGTAATTTTCTGTGCAACGATTGTGGAGAGATGGACTTTGAATAAGATCGATTGGAGACCCATTAAAGCGATTCTAGACCTGCTTAGGTCTATTTATAAGGTGACCGGCCGGCTGAGAGGGGGAGCCCCTGGGTGATAATTGGAGCTGACGTTTCACAGTGGAAGGATAAAGAGTGTGGTGCACTTGGGACAAATCTTTAGCACTACCGTGTTTCCCCGAAAGTAAGACATCCCCCGAAAATAAGACCTAGCGCTATCTTCGGGGATGTCTGTAATATAAGACCTACCCCGAAAATAAGACCTAGTGTCTTATTTCGTGCAAAAAAAAAAATAAGACACTGTCTTATTTTCGGGGAAACACGGTATATACGTGTGATTCCACATTTGTGTATATTTGAACATGGAATATATGATTGAACTTTCCGTAGGACTATTATTTACAAGAAGATTCATTGTTAACACTTTTTTGATTGCATGTATTATTTAAGCACGTATTTATTATAGAGATTTGTTTATGTATTGTTCTAGATGAAGCGCAGCACATTCATTATAATTTAAAGTATTGTGCTGTATTAAGGGCCCATTTACAATGATGTATTGTAGTAAAGTGCATGTATTACGGCAAATTACCACAAACTATGTTAACGCAATACAATATTCATTGTGCAGCAGTGTCATTCATTTATAATGGAACCCCAATGCTTTGCAAGGTAGCTGCCAACGCATCTGCAGTACAACACAGTACCTACTGTGTTGCTGAAAATGCTGAAGGTACTTGTGTTTAAGTTGGGCTGTCCTAATGTAGCGCACTTTAATGCACAAAAACCATTTTGTGTAAAACCAATGAATAGTGTAAATGGGCCCTAAAAGTACTGTACAACAAAGATAATTGGTTGCTTCTGGTAACTAACATAATGTTGATTATATGCCTTTACTGATTATTTTTTAACCAAGGAAGGATTTTAAAGAAAATGTTCAACATTTACCTGCTTCTATTACTACAAACACGTTTGAAGCCAGAGGGTCAACATGACAGGCAGGCAACTGCCATTTTCAAAAGAAAGTCGGCACTAGAAGCCTACAGATTTCACTTACAATAGATTTCCTTTACCCTCAGCTGAAGGCTGTTGATTTATGAATTGTAATATTCAGTTTGCTGGTATTACTGCAGCTCACATTCAGAAATAGATGCCATAAGGCTGGGTTCACACCTGGGCGTGTTGTAGGCATGTTTTTTGTCCAATGAAACGCGTGTTCGACGCTCATTTTTTAACCTCCCTGGCTGGTATGATTTTTTTTTCCGCTATCTTTTTTTAGTTTTTTTTTTTACTTTTAAACTTCCCGCTGGTTCTGCCCCCCTGCGACGCGGACACTCGCAAGGGAAGGAAGACGGCAGCGACTGGAGGACACAGCGGGGATCGCGAAGAAGGTAAGACCTACGCTGTATTCCCGAGTGTGGCTCGGGGTTACCGCTTTGTTAATCCCGAGCCACACTCGGGAATACCAATGGATACGCGCTGAAATCCAGCCCAAAGAAGCTCCTGTACTATTTCGGGCGTAGGGCGTTTTTCAGCGCGTCAAAACGTGCTGAAATACGCCCAGGTGGGAACCATGCCCATAGGAATTAATAGGATTTCACTGCTTGAGTGTTTTTCAGCACTGAAAAATGCCCAGGTGTGAACCCAGCCTAAGTGCACATAGCCTGACAT